CACTCGCATGATCAGGGGGCAGCAGGGCAGGCCCTACGAAGAGAGGCTCAGGGACCTGAACCTGTTCAGCCTCCACAAGAGAAGGCTGAGGGGGGATCTAGTGGCCTGTTACAAACTAGTCAGAGGGGACCAGCAGGCACTGGGGAAGTCCCTGTTCCCCCGAGCACTACCAGGAGTGACCAGGAATAACAGTCACAAGCTGGCAGCGGGTAGATTTAGGCTAGATATCAGGAGGTGCTACTTCACGGTCAAGGCGGCTAGGATCTGGAACCAACTTCCAAGAGAAGTGGTGCTGGCTCCTACCCTAGGGGTCTTTAAGAGGAGGCTAGATGTACACCTTACTGGGGTACACCAGTACTCTTTCCTGCCATGGTAGGGGGTTGGACTCGATGATCTGCTCAGGTTCCTTCCGACCCTAGAAACTATGAAATTATGAAACCACCTAGTACCATGAGGTATGTAGAAAAAACATAAAGTTGTGTCTATGCTGATTCTCTGAATCAGAATTGAATCTTCAGATTCAGATTTGACCTAATCAAATCAGGATAGTGATCTGAATCAATGAATCAAATCAGGCTGAATCCGAATCTGAATCAAATATGGCCCGTTTCGCACATCCAAACTACACAGTGCCTTTCAGTGGCTTGTGCTCCTTCCCTTTTTCTACTGGAAATTCCTCACCCAAATAAGATCCTGGGTTTGCATTGCCCTTTTTCTTGGCAGCATCATGCTAGTACCTCATAGTTATCCTGTGACTGACTAATTTGTAAGGTCTTTCTCCTTGTCTGTCATCTCCAACTGATGACCCCCATATCATAGCAGAAATTTTTGTTCTTAGTCTCTGTGTGCATGACCTTGTACTTAAGTGCTACTGAACTTTGGCCCATTTCTCTTACTCAGCTCTGAAAGCATTGGCAGAGGCTAGGGAGGGTGCATGGGGCCAAGCCTGGTTTATGTGCCGACCACTGTGGGATTCTTAGCTAGTGCTGTATGCATCTGGCTGTGTCTGGCCCATGGGTCCCTTTATTCCCTCATATTGTACAAGTCAAACTTTGCCCATGCCTAAATGTCACTGTATTCTTCCTGTTTGGGAATCCAGTCATCCTGTGCATTGAGGATGACTCCCACTTTGGGAGGGAGTCATCTGAATTTTTATTTGAAGGGTCTCAGTCATGCTTATAATGATTTCCTAAATAAAACTGATATTTTCCACACATGTATCCAACCAAGCAGATTACATCAGCAGATTTCAGTAGCATGCTGATATTTTACATGCCAGTATCATTAAGGAAAACAGTAAACATGGCTGATGTCAAGATAACTGAAGGAGTTCCTCAAGGGTTTATCTTCTCCAGCCCAATACTGAACTTTTCAACATTACGAATTGGTATCTCCTCTTTAGCCACTACCTCACTCCCCTTAGAGATTTTCTAATTCTCATCTTTTCCAGCTCAACTAATTATTTCCCATAAGCCACTGTGTCAAATGTTTTACTGAAGTCAATGGATATTAGTTTCACTTCATGTCTTTTCTCTAGAAAATCAGTTATCAAATAAATATATCAGGTTACTCCAGCACCATCTGCCTTTGGCATTTTGTCCATTTTCCCTTTTATGTCCCTGTCTTTAATTGCTCTTTCCTTCAAGGCTTCCTTTTAAGCTCTGGTATATTATAGAGTCAGACTGATGGAGCCATAGTTGCCAAGATCATTTTCTCCCTTCCCTACTTCAAAATAGGTACTACATTTGAGTCAGGTGATACCTCCTCTGATTTGATAGATTTATTAAAAGGCCTTGCTACCAAGCCTGCAATGCCATATGCCAGTTCAGAATCCTAGAATGAATGTTATCTCATCCCCATGACTTGAGCACATAAAGCTCTTTGAGTGTTACTTTAACCTCAGATCTGGTGTTTTCCATTTCTGTATCTCCATTCCCATTAGCCATCCTGTCTGTGCCCCCAGTTTCAACAACATTGTCCTTACTGCAAATTTAGAGAAAGTATTCATTTAGCTTTTGAGTCATACCTATATAATCTTTAATCTGTACTCCAGCTGCAGTTTATAGACACACACTTCTTTCTGCATCCTCTATTTTTATTTACATGGTTGGAAGAATCTTTAGCTATTTGTTTTTACTTCCTTGGCAAGATCTAACTCAGGGTGGCTTTTGGCAATTAAGTATGCAAGCAATTATAACAAAACACAGCTCAAGGTACAGGATAAGAACAGGACAAGGTAGTCAGCAAAACTATACAATCAAATCAGTATCTTACCAATAATATGAGGGTTTCACCAGGGGATGGGTTTTGTTTTTAGACATAGACATAGACATAAAGGCTGGAAGGGACCTCAGAAGATCGAGTCCAGCCCCCCTGCTCAAAGGGCAGGAAGTCAGCTGGGGTCATAGGATCCTAGCAAGATAAGCATCCAATTTGCTCTTGAAGGTGTTCAATGTAGGTGCTTGAACCACCTCTGATGGCAGGCTGTTCCAGACCTTGGGGGCTTGGACAGTAAAGAAATTCTTCCTTATGTCCAGCCTGAAACGGTCTCGCAGTAGTTTATGACCGTTCGACCTTGTCATCCCTTGGGGCGCTCTGGTGAACAAACGTTCCCCCAGATCCTGGTGGTCACCCTGATAAACTTATAGGTGGCCATCAGATCACCCCGAGCCTGCGCTTTTCCAGGCTAAAGAGCCCCATGGCTCTCAGCCTGTCGTTGTAAGGTCTGTTTTCCTGACCTCTGATCATGCGCTCTCTGGACTTTCTCAAGCTTCTCCACATCCTTTTTGAATTGTGGAGCCCAAAATTGAATGCAGTACTCCAGCTGTGGCCTCACCAAGGCCAAGTACAAGGGGAGAATGACGTCCCAGGATTTGCTTGAGAAGCATCTACGGATGCAAGCCAGCGTTTTGGTCGCTTTAGTAGCCACAGCATCGCGTTGCAGGCTCATGTTCATCTTGTGGTCAATGATGACCCCCAAGTCTCTTTCTTCCATAGTGCTAGCCAGCGTAGCACTGCTGAGCCTATAAGGATGGTTTTTCCTCCCAAGGTGGAGAACCTTGCATTTTTCGGTGTTAAACACCATCAGGTTCTTGTCCATCCATTTGCTGAGCCTGTCCAGGTCAGCCTGGATCACTCGCTTGTCTTCTGGCGTGGATGCTTTGCCCCAAAGTTTGGTGTCATCGGCGAACTTGGCCAGTCCACTCCTGACTCCAATGTCCACATCATTAATGAAGATGTTGAACAATATGGGTCCAAGGACAGAGCCTTGGGGGACCCCACTAAAGCTTCTTAAACACATATCAGTTGTGTTATGCCCCAGTGAGAGCAAGAGCTTATGTTTGCACAGTAGAGTATGTTAGGACAGATACATTAAAAGCCTCTGTATTCTTATACCTGATATTTGATTTTCTTTCAATTTTGTGCTTGCCTAGCTTTGATTGCCCTTCTGCGGGAAGGAGAGAGCCTAGAGGATCTGATGAAATTATCCCCAGAGGAACTGCTGCTGAGATGGGCTAACTATCACCTGGAGAATGCTGGATGCAACAAAATCAACAACTTCAGTACAGACATCAAGGTATAAAAAATGGCAATCAACTACAGCAAAAACAGTGATCCCCAGTGTCAGTGCAGCCTCCTTTACCTTGGCTTGTTTATCCAAAAATGATGGCTCAGGTTCCACTTTTAAAAACACTTAATGATAGGCTTCTTGAGAAACTTCTGAGTCAACATAACTGCTCCTTTGATTAAAAGGAATCCTGTGGAGAGTGTGTGTAGGACTAGCGCTGTGACAGCCTAAACAGTACATTTGGAATACTTCAAAGCCATGGAATTGCAACTTTCAATTTCGGCTAGGCTTAAACATTAATGGACTTTTTCCTTAACAGGTAGATGAATTGGGGGGAAAAACAACACCCCCCCACACTCCTTTCTGATATGCCATTGCAGAGATGGCAGTGACCTTTAGTCAGTAAGGTCCTACTCTAGAACTCATTGAAGTCAACAGGAATCCTTCCATTCAGTTGAATGGATTAACACAGACTACATGTGACCAGTAAATGAAAAGTTTCATAATCCAGTACCACTTCCTGGGCCTATTTCTCCCATCTCCGACAGCCATTTTCATAATCCAAATCAAACATGAAAGACACTAAAAACTTGTCTGTGATTGCCAGTGAGAAATCCATATTATTTTACTAAGATAACCTTTCCTCCTTTTGTTGCAGCAGTTTCAAGCCAGGTTTTGGCACCACTTGGCTAGCTGTAACTAAGCAGAACCTTGCCACTGGCTTTAGGACCAGCAGAAGGCCTAACACATGAATTATAAAGATTGCATATTAAATATAAATAACCAATAATAATAGGAAGACAAAGTGAAATATTTGGAGTCTGATCCTCCATTTACCTCATGCATATAATTTCCTTGGCACTCAATATATTTTTTTAATGCAAAAGATGTTTCTTTTTTATGTAGAAGGGCCATGGGACGAATCTTTCTCAGGTTTCTATAAGCAGGCTAGAGAGAGGAATTTCATGCAGCTTGAGGCTAAACTCTATTTCCCCACTTTGTACTCCAGGGGTGTATCTACATGTTCATTAATGCACTGTAGTTACAGCACATTAAGTTTAGTATTTGTATAACCAAGTACTAAATCAATATGTAGTAACTGGCGCTACTGCGCAGTAGCGCCAGTACATGGCTTTTTAGTGATGCCAACTGCACAGTAGCCTAATGCTACTGTACCGTGGCATATTAACATGGTTTTTGCCCTGCACAGTACTGCGCAGTAGAGTTAGGCACTGCTCAGGTATCTTGTCATGTTGACGCACCCAAATAGTATTTATATAGTGGTGTGTAACTGTAGTTTGTGGTACTTATGCTCAGTTTGGATTCTATTTTCACCTGTGGCAGTATGGATTCATCCTGCACACATACCTGCCAAAATTAGAAGGACCTGCTTCTCACCCAAATGCACTTTGAACCTGTACCACCTGCTGAGAAGAGAGAGATTCAGTTTCACAATTTCTCTGGGTGAGGGGTCCCTACAACCTGTATTTCCTGGGCAAGTGCCTTAACTAGTAGCTTAATGAGCTGAAAAGTAAGAAGGTCCCCCTTGGCTTTTGGGGACATATCTGGCCTTCTACCTATGCCTGGGTGATTCTTTTTCTCCCAGGCACGTGTGCAGGCTACCAACTGGGCATGTCTATACATGCTATTAATGCACAGCAATAAACTCTGGCACATGTATCTATCATACTGGAGTTTATTGCTCCGGGGCGTGCCATTTGAATGTGAGCCTGGGACCACAGTGTGTTGAACTGGGTTGGAGCAGCCCTGGCTGGCAGGAGGCCTGGAGGAGTCAGCTTACCAGCCTGGGGCTGCTCTGACCTGGCTCAGTGGGCTTCAGAGGAGCTGGCTAGGGCACAAGGGTGTTTCAGTGCAGGGCTAGCCAGTAGACAGCCACTGCACTGAAGCACTCTCGTGCCTCAGCCAGCCACATCAGTGTCTACGTGTGTGCTGCTGTGGAGTAAAAAACTCTGTGGCAGGTTAGCACTTGTATTTCCAAGTAGTAACCTGCTGCGGAGTTTATTAGTTTTCTACGATCTAATAGAGCGACACGTGTAGGTGCTGAGACATTTACTGCAGAGCTAATTAGGCAGCTCCATAGTCAGCGTCTCTATAGATGTGCCCTCTATGTGCAGAAAGGATGCACAGAGCAAGTGTAGATCCACTGAATCCAACATTGTGCTTAAACTACAGAACAACCAGTTAAGCACATGAAGGTGATAGCCTACATTTTATATCATATCATTGTCAGTTCTGAAAAGCAAAATGTACACATAGACATCAGTGTGGCCAAAATTTCAGCCTCGATTATTTGCTATCATCCACTTATTACATGCGTCTCTCAGAATTGCTTCTTCTATAAATATGCATGTTCTATAATGTATGCAGGCATGCAGAGAAACATTTGTGAAGAAATGGAACTAGTGTACAAATTAGAATAAATCTTGAAAGTAAAGGTTTGCAAAATTTGGACTATTGACTTTCTATTGCTCAAATTATTAACAATTTCTCAACCTGCTTTTTAAAAAATGTCATCTGAATTTTTATTTGAAGGGTCTCAATCATGCTTATAACGATTGCTTAAACAAAACTGATATTTTCCACACATGGATCCACACATGGATTAAATCTGTGTCTTGTTCTAGCCTTTTGCTTGAAAAATGCTTGTTAATTGTTGTTTGCTTTCACGTTTGTCCTTGAAAACTTTGCTTTCTCTTTTGTAACTATTTTAATATTTCTTTAAACTCTGCCTTAAACTTCTGCTTTCGCCTTTCTGTCTATTCTTTTACTAAACCTTTAGCTGACCGACTTCCAGAGCATTGTAAAGGTATATTTTTCATATCTCTTACTGAACATATTACCCTTAAATCAATTCTAGCCTTTCCCCTTCTCAAATGAAACTTATACATAGTACTTTTTTAATGCTTCCAGCTTTTCTGTATTTAGTATTTCCATTGCTTTATAAAACAATGCAGCATAAAATGTAAATGGTTAAATGTTTCCAGCTTTATTAATTTAATTATGTTGTCAAATGGTTGATGTAATACAAAGAAAGCCACCTCACCCATTGTTCATGGGAAACACTGGCATACAAAACCAAGCTTTACTTGTAACTTTTCCTCCACACTTCTGTAAACACCTTTAATTTCTTACTGTGTCTCAGGACTCCAGAGCTTATTACCATTTGCTGGACCAAGTTGCCCCAAAGGGAGATGAAGAAGGCATTCCAGCTATTGCTATTGACATGTCAGGATTAAGGGTAAGATCATAGAAATAAAGAATGCACACTTATATTTTAATGTCTTTTACTTACAGTAATGAGGAAACTTTGAGATGTAGTGTAATACTAGAAGAAGCAGGCCAAATTTTCCAATGCAATGCAGTCTTGCAATCAAAAAAACAAATATACAGAATTTAAATGCTATTTAGCTTTGATGTTTTTAATGATGATAAAATATCAGAGAACATGAGTTATCACTTAATCTTTTCCAGCCAATGAACCAGTTAGATACACTATCAATGTTCATCCTATTACATTTTCATGAAAATGTATCTGAATTCTCCTTGACTTTTCCTATATTAACCTTATGACGTAATAGTTAGAAAATCATTGTAATATAGCAAGATACTGATTTTAGGTAAAAGCAATCTGCAAATATTGGCTTGTGATATGTACATGGAAAAGGAAAAATATGCACTGAACCAAGAATATGCTTTAATTTGTAAAGCTTTTATGTGCAAATCTACAGTAGTTACATGTGTATATATATGTGTGTGTGGTATTTCAGTAGAAGTCAGCAACAAATATTTTTGCTGACTCAGGCATTTGATATTTGTTTTGTCAACACAGGAGAAGGATGACATCCAGAGGGCAGAATGTATGTTGCAGCAGGCAGAGAAACTAGGCTGCCGGCAGTTTGTCACAGCCACAGATGTAGTCCGTGGCAACCCAAAGTTAAACTTGGCTTTCATTGCCAACCTCTTCAATAAATATCCTGCCCTCCATAAGCCAGAGAACCAGGATATTGACTGGAGTTCTATTGAAGGTAAAGCAAGTACAAAGAATATATGGCATTAGACTGAAGACTCTCGTAACTGAGACTTGGTTGGATAACTTCTATTAGCCCAACTTTTCCCAGACATGTCTTCAATGCAACAAGAGCTAAGGAAGATTTCAGGAGGGGATATGGCTGCATTACTTGCATCCAGTTTCAGATGTAGTTGACTTCCTGTTCTTTGGAAGGCTTTGTTTGACTTTTCATGTGTCTGGGGTTTGTTCTAGCATTCACAATCATCCAACCTTAAGTGAATTGGCTATCACTTAGCACTAAATAAAACCATAACACCAGTGTAGGCTCTCCCCAAACACTTGTTCCAGGATCAAACCGTTTGTGTCCTGGAAAAAACATTTAGGGTACATCGTTATATTCAAGAAGAAAGTAGTTTTTGCACAGGCTCAGTCTGACACATCTGTGAAATCTTAGTTGTGCAGTTAGCAACAGCAAAGTGTTGTTTTAAACAAAGTCTGAGGTAGCAGCTCAGCTTTGCAAGGTGCCAAGCTCTATCACTTGAATCAACAAAATACTGTAGCACATGTTGGAAGTTAAGCATGTGAGCCATCCTACTGAAGTCAACTGGACCTGTTTTTGTGTTAAGCATGTGCTTAAATATTTTCCTGACTCATGACAGAATGCTCAGCTCCGTGTGAGATGTTTGCTAAGGATTGTAACTGAATGTCCTCAAAAGCTTGTACTAAACCTTCTCAGATAAGGTAAATTTGAATTTTTTTCAATATTTTTAAGGGAATTTGGCCCAAATGCTAAAACACGTGTGGCATGTACAGAATCTTACCTACTGTTTAGTACTCTTAATTCACATGCCAGTTAATCTTTCATTCTACAAATGTTTTCAGTACACTATAGGTTTTTTTATATGTGATTTCATTTTTGCAAAATGGTTATTTCACTGTAGAGTTGAGTTTTGCAGAAGTGTTGATTGATATTGCTATCATTTTAGGTGAAACAAGGGAAGAGAGGACTTTTAGGAACTGGATGAACTCTCTGGGTGTTAATCCACGTGTAAATCATTTATACAGGTAAGAAAATTTATCTTATGTCCTTGAGATAAATAAATGTAATTTACACCTGAAGGAAAAACTTGTTCATTGAGAACATGGAAATGCATGCTCAAGTTTTATCCTTTAGGAAAATGAGATGAATTCTACTGATGTTTAAGTGTGATTCCTTGCCACATCATTTATAAGGTGATGTATATTTTAATTTTTTTTTCAGTGACCTGTCAGATGCCCTGGTTATCTTCCAGCTTTATGAAAAGATTAAAGTGCCAGTAGACTGGAACAGAGTGAACAAACCACCTTATCCTAAACTGGGTGGCAACATGAAGAAGGTACAAAAACTTGATGTGACTTTTTTTTTAACAATACACAGATATCCATACCATTTCTTTTAAAGTGCTGGAACCACACTCATTGATTAATGAATGACTGCACATACTTCAAAATGGAATTGAGTCCTTATTCAGCAGTAGAACAGTAAAGTCTGATATCTCTGTTACAGGAATACATTTACAAAGAGTTTATGGCCTATACTCCTTCCGCATGTATGCAGTATTGCAACTACACTTATTTACCAATCAGTCTTGCAACATGTTGAGATGTCATTTGAATCAGCAGTATTGTAAGAGTGATGTTGTAGCTGTACCAAATACTACAGCACATGCTTAAAACTAAGCATCTATGAGCCATCCCACTGAAGTCAACTGGTACTGTTTTGTGCCTAGAGTTAAGCACATGCTTAAATGCTTTCCTGTGTTACTGAGTGCACATAATAATTTATATGTGGCAGGGAAATACATAGGCATTTGCATGCATAACTGCATGTTACTCTCAAGTCACAAGGAGACCTGATCAAATTATATTTCTACTGTGTATTCCATGAATATTTCCCTTCCCTTTGTTAATAAATTCAGCTCACTAGCTCTGTAGAGATTTGAATACTATTTGAGATGTAAATATATTTAATGTTTTCAATCTACATTAAAACCCCCCGATTCTTTAAATAATTTTGCCGTATTCAGCCTACAAGTTACAATACATATCCATGATTATTCCAGCTCTCCTGATCATCTCCCTCCACATCAGTAGAATAAGTCAAAGCCCAAGGTCTGTGCTGAGCCTAGGCAGCTAATCAGACTAGTGGGGCTAAGTCCACTGGTGTCTGTAGCTAACAGCACACAAGTGAGCGATGCATCACATCACATCCGGCTGTCTGGTTCATCAGCTTGACCCTCACACACAGTTAGACTGACCTTTGGCATAAATCCAGAGAAAGGTGCAAACATACTTCTGAGTCCATCATGAAATACCTCATCTGCTCTGTCATTGTGTCTTCTAACAGAGGAGCAGATATTAAATGTTTGTGGCCTAGATGCCTCATGACCTGGGAGAAAGTTCCCTGTTGGACATCCACTAAGTGCCCAGTTTTCTCTCAGCATGAGGTGTATTGGCCAAGAACATTTTCAAGCTATTAGTAAATGAGGCAGAGCAGGGTACCTAAATCACCTAAAACATTAAAATTCTGGGACTCACTTCACATTGAAAACCCCAGTTATTGTCCCAGAATAGTGCTACCTTACTAGGTAAGAGAAGGAAGACAGTAGGGCTGTGCAAAATTTAACCGGCTGTTTCGTTTTAACACTGTTTTGACTCATTTCAAGCTTGAAACAGCGAAATTGAAATGAAACAAAGGGCTTGAAAATAGCCTTGAAAAAACACGAGGGCAGTTGAAATGTTTCAAAGTTTTGAAACTTTTCGAGTTTTGAAGCAGCCCGATTGAGTTCCCCTCCCCAGCACTAGAATAGGGCTGAGGAAGGGAACTGAGACTGATTGCTCAGTTCCCCTCCCCAGTACTTTGATCCATTAGGCTGGGGAAGGCAACTCAGCCCAGCTGAGCTCAGCACTATGATGGGCTGGGGAAGGGCACTGAGCTCCATGGTAGTGCTGGGGAGGGGAACTCAGCTCAACTGGGCTGAGTTGCCTTCCCCAGCCCAAGCAATCACAGCGCTGTGGAGGAGAACTGAGCAGTCAGGCTTAGTTGCCCTCCCCAGCCCAAAGGATCGCAGCACTGGGGAGGGGAACTAAGCAATGGGGCTCAGTTCAGGCAGCAGCACTCAGCTTCCCTCCCTCATCTGGCAGGCAGATAGGGGGTCCATAACCCTGGGAGGACTGGCATAGCCCCCACAGCCCTCCCAGGGTTGTGTGCCCCCGATCTGCCTGCTGGATGAGAGAAGTTGTTTTGAGCTTCTCCATTATAGCTTATGGGCAAAACTTGAAACAGCGTCAGAACAGTGGTACTGTTTTTACAAAATGAAATGGAACAGTAGTTTCAAATCAAAATTAAATTCAAAATGAAATGCTGTTGAAACACAAGTCGAAATGGAATGGTGCCGTTTTGCACAACAACAGAAGATAGTACAGGGGCTACCTTAGAGTGCTGCAAATTGTATTGCTTTATTTCCCAGTGTGTTTGGTGTCATTTAAGTTCTGATGAAACACTCTAGTACACTGTAGTATTTCTGTAGGGGCCAAAGCTTCCCATAGATGTTATGAGCTAGATCCTGAAAGTACTCAAACCCCAATATAATACTCACACAGAAGCCCACAGGATGGTCTGCCTGTATGAATCCATTTGCCGGATCTGACTCATCCTTTACAACAGTTGCAGATAGCAATGGATTCCTTTAAAGATGTTTGTTCCTCCCCATATTTTTAAAGATACTGACTATATCTGTTACTGACAGCTTGAAAACTGCAACTATGCAGTGGAGCTGGGAAAGAATCAAGCCAAGTTTTCCCTCGTTGGAATTGCTGGGCAAGATCTCAATGAAGGAAATCGTACACTAACTCTTGCCTTGATCTGGCAGTTAATGAGAAGGTACAGTAGTCAGCCTTTACCCATATTGCTTCCGTGTTACTGATATACTACATAGGAAGGAATGGGGTGTCAGCATTCCTCAGGGAGGAGATAGATCAATACTATTATTATCTCTGTTGTCTATATTTCATCTTTTAATCAAGATAATATGCCTTCCTAAAATTCACGTTGTAGCAGAAACCAAATTGTGGGCTTGATACAAAGGCAACTGCTGAGGCTTTGCAGCTCCTATTATGCAGGAGAACAGACTAAGTGATCATAAATGTCCCTTCTGGTCCTGAAATTCATGAATCTGTGATTTCTTTGTAGGTACTGTGGGCCTTCATCGTTCACATAAGAGTCTTTTTGCACCCTCTGGCCATATATAGCACACTTACAGTGGCTATAATAGTCACCTGTGCTACCCTAAAACTCCTTGACTTTGCCAGAGCAGTGTCAAGGAGCCTTAGTATAATGAGACAGAGCCCTGTATAACTTAATCTACTGAAAGAGATATAACTAAGTGTGAGTGAGGACTGTAGGGTTTGGCCTTGCAAGGTTTTACATGTACGATGTGGCTTCACACTTTTGAGTATGAACCAACAGACATTTTATATTTTTTGTTAAGGTATACGCTGAGTATCCTTGAAGACATAGGTGGTGGGCAGAAGGTCAATGATGAAATTATTGTCAACTGGGTAAATGAAACACTGACTGAAGCTGGGAAATGTTCAACCATCTCTAGCTTCAAGGTATGGTTTTCCTTTATATGGATGTCATGAGACCCTTACGGTTACAGGTATACTGCTGTTTTATATGGTTTCCAAGGAAGGGTAATGGCATCTCCTTCCTTAGCCCACCAGTCTTGTTTATAGTCTTCTGTGTTGGAAATTATATCAAGCCATTCTTACTCCACAGTACTTTTCCAAACCAGGTGTTTTTCCAGTAGCTAAAACTGTACCAGTAGCCACTGGTACAGCAGTAACTTTAGGGGTCCCTGATCCGCTGAGTCCCAACCAAAGGGCCCCTCTTCAAAAAGTTCACTTTTAACACTCAGATTGAATTTCTGGGCCACTTTCTACCTTCCTTGTAGCCTCCATCCCAGAGGGTTTACAGTCTTGTTGACATATCTGGAGAAAGTCCTAGGCCCAATCTTTATCTGATGTGAATTGGCAATGTACACTATGTAAAGAGAAGGCCTGTTGAATCCAACCTAGACTAAAAATCAAACCAAATATATAATAAACAGTGACCAGTGAACCACTAAGCCAGTGATTCTCAACCAGGATGCTGGGGCATCCTGATGTGCTGCAAGATTAGGTTGACCATACTATAGTTAAGGAAAATTGGGATGGGGTAAGGAAATCCAAGATGGGGAGCATGATCCTTTGAAGGGTGCTGCAAGGTGTGGAGAGAGAAACTGGGTGTGAAGAGATGAGTTGATAAGTTCAGGCTTAGGTTCCTGCCTGGCCCCTCTGCAAGGAGGTAGGCACTGCAATAAATCTGTTAGTTTTTGAATGGGGTGTCTCTCAATCCGCAAAAGTTATGGAGGAGTGCCTTGAATTTTAAATGGTTGAGAACCACTGCTCTGAGCAGTCATCCACTCCCTTGAGCTTGGTTATGGCTGAGTAGAAACTCCGTCAGTCTGTGCATCTAACTTTATTTTCCCCCCTTTCAGGACTCCAAAATAAGCACAAGCATGCCAGTCCTGGATCTCATTGATGCTATTCAGCCAGGTTCTATCAAATATGACCTTCTGAAAACAGAGGACCTAGATGATGATGAGAAGCTCAATAATGCTAAGTAAGTCTGAACTATGCGACCACATGAAGGGTTTACCATGTGGGGGCTAACCTTTTTGGCAGGCATGACACAAATTAGCCCCATATCCACCCCAAGTGCCATTCCAACACCCATCTTCTGCCCAATCTGTTGCTCTGCTTTCTGCTTCCTGTCCTATCTGCTGTTGTGCTACCTGTCCTCTTCCTGATCTGCCATTTGCCACACACACAAGCTGCCTGTGCCACTTGTGGCATGCATGCTGTCCCTAGTATACCAAATCAGGCTCTCGTTGCATTGCTTTTAAGTTACTCTTATGACACAGTTGTTAGCACTCCCTGTGTCTGCAAGTAAGAACTACCTTGGAAGCAAGAAGTACCTAGGGAAAAAGATAGAAAAAAAAGTTGCTAATGGAAATTAAGTGAATGCTGCTATAGTTCTTGCTTTACAATCCCTTGATGAGCTCATAACTACTTTCCTTCTTAAGCTCATATTTCCTCTTATTAAATTAAAAAAAATTCTAAGATCAGGTAATAATGCCAGATATATAAAAATGCTTCAGCAGCCAGCTGTGAAATTAGATGGTATTCTTCCTTGTTTGCACAAAGGTGAAATGAGGGGCACAATCAGAAGAGAGGTGGGACTGAAGGAAATTCAACCTATAAGCACCATTTGTGCGGGTGTGAATTCTCTCCAAGTGTGAAGTGCACCTTTAGGACAACAGCCTTGTAGACCTTCTCTCCTTCCATTCACAGCTGCACAGATCACCACCCATCTAAGTCATGATTCCTTTCCCAGTTATAATCAGCAACATCCCTGTGGCCACTACAGCAATAGCCCACATGGGAGGGCTAAAGTATTGCTCTGCTTTAGCTGCCTGTAATATAATGGAGTGGTCTGTTCTCTAATCCTGCCATCTCCTCTGTTTCTCAGCAGTTCATCTCTCTCCCCCTACTGTTCTGCTTCTTTCCCTCATGCCTGGCATTTGCTTCCCTCCACACAGGCCCTTTCTCCATCTTTCCAGATCGCAATGTTGCAAACTAAACTACATCAGAATGTAATTTAGTTTGCAATGATGCATACTCATTTCAAACCCCCAAAACTTCCATACATATAATGTGTGATGCCAGTAAGCCACACACAGGGAATTTTTCATCACATGTACGTCGGAACATTGTCATGTGTACTGCGACCTTAGTGAAGTCTTTGTGGTTGCATCAAACACAATTCAGGAAAACAAATGGCTAATAGTTTTTGTCTTTATGTAGCATCAATTTAAATATTATTGTAAGTTTCCCTGTACCCCTCTGGCCATTCTTTTGTGAACCCCCTCACCACTTCTGCCTTCAGTAGGCACCTGTGGCCATCAGGACAATCACATATATACAGTGATGGGGTAGGTTTCAATTAAAAGGTCACCATTTCAATTTTGGAGGCATAGAATGCAACCTGAAGGACTAAATCCCCATCATGTATATAAGTGTCCAAAACTAGTAGGGGCAGAATTTGGCCCTTTATTGCTAGCAAGAGTTTTCCCTCAGCAAAGATCTCCCTGGGAGATCAGGGAGGGAAGTAATAGATTTTGCATACTGTTCTAAAATGTGAGCCTATTTTGCAATATCCCACACTCCTTCCCTCAGAGGGCACTAACCTAGGATATGGGAGACTAGACATTTATTAGACCACAGAATGGAACTACATACATTGCTGAAGAAAACTTAAGTTTTGACAAATCAGTGTTTTTCTGATGGAAAATCATTTTGACAGAAAGTTCCTGGCCAGCTCTAGTATGCTAAACTAGAACTTGCTAAACAAATGAACACTGATCCTGCTTCTTACATTTCTCTTCATTTTCCCACCTTTATAGATATGCCATCTCTATGGCAAGAAAAATTGGAGCAAGAGTCTATGCCCTGCCAGAAGACCTGGTTGAAGTAAAACCAAAAATGGTCATGACTGTGTTTGCTTGCCTTATGGGAAAAGGAATGAAGAGAGTTTAAACCACAAAAGACTTGTATGAATGGCTGGTATACACCCCCTGACTCCTTCAGACTGAATGCTCTTCTTGTTGTCAAGGACACATGCAGATTCTTCATACTTTCTAAGGCAAGAATGCTAGACAAGGTTCCAAAACATACAAAAGTTGACATATATACTCTGCAAAATAATCTACGATGTTCTGTTCTGAACAATAATGTGATTAATTTCTTTGCCCAGTTTGCCTTGCCTAGGCGTAGCTATTTCATACTTCTTAATATGCTTCCAAACAGCAGGGAATTTACTGGTAACAGTTGAGTATCAAATGTGTTTTCTAGAGGTCACCTGGAGGTTTTACCTTGAGAGGCATGATCAAGTAGACAGTCTTCAGGATTTTGAAAGGTTGCATTTGTTCTGTTACAATTAATAATGCATTTGTACTTCTGATGATGTTTATCCCATGCTTTCCTTTGGTTAGCACCTTGCACTACAAAGCCAGCCAATGCAGAGTAGTGTTTATTTTTCTGGGATAGTAGAATCCTCTGAGTTGGGAAACTCTTGCGGAAAGAAAAGATAGCTAATTAAGGGTCTCACTCAAACTGTGTAGTATGAATAGTCCTTTTGACACTGGTGGGACTGCTTACAGGGTAAAGATATTACTCTTTGAGTAACAGCATCACAACCAGGGCCTCAGAAACCTTTGCAGCCCACATTGTGGAAGGTATCAACTAATTTTTATAATTTTATAATTTCATGACATGTTTTAACAATAAGCATATTGCAAAACAATAGTTTTCTTCAAATGAAAACTGCAATGCAAACTAAGGAAATTCATTTGGAAACAATAATAAAGCAGAGATGCAAATGAAGGGAGCAAAGGGCCATACAGTGTCAACTGGATGAAGTGAACAATAACTGAATCCTGTTAACAACCTAAACAGGCTTGCTGACAATTGATGGCATGCCACAGAAACAGATGAGAAGCCTGATTCAGTGAAGAAGGTGCTTAACCTAACCAACCATATGCCTGAGTGATGTATTTAGTGCTCAGATCCTTAACTGAGGGACATCAGTTAACAGCAAAGCTCTGTCAGTTTTATCCCACTTGAAAATCTACCTTTATTTGTTGAGAATCAATGAAACACACTGCACTGAATCTGCTCCTTAGTGTGTGTTGCTTATTGTTGTATTCATGACATGGGTTCTACTGTAGTAAAATGCCTTAATGCAATCTTGTCAACTTATCCTGACACTCTCTTCTTTTCCTCCATGAAATTGCCTTAATAAAGAGTAAATATACAGTGATATGGAAAGTCTCTCCAAATAAAGTATCCTATGAGCCAAACATTCAGACTCTTTCTTTCAGTGTTGCATATATGTGAACAAGGTGATAACTACAATATGCTGGCACAGTCAAAACATACAGGTTTGAAAGCAGACATATTGAACTCACCGCATGCATACAAATATATATGCTGGGTAAATGCTATTAGTTTACTGGCACCTCACCTTAACTGTACTGTGACAGGAGTGCCTCTTCTGGAGTCCCCCTATCGGTGACCCTGTCCTCCTGTTATGGGCCAACTGCCTGCCTTCTCGCTTGCCATGCCTTGATCTTAATTAATTAATGGATGTTAATTAGTGGGAAACTTCCCATTTATTGCCTCAGTGCCAAGGGGTGCTATCTGCGTCTCCTTTTCCTCCTCTACACCGCAGCCCAAGCTTCACAGATGATACTGACGTGGTTTGATCTGGGCCTTGTTGTAATTTGGCCCTCCCCTTGTCCTCCCTGGGCTTTCCACAGCCCTATCTCATTCTGTCTCGCTCTGCATCTTCCTGGCGCTCAGACTCTCCACAGCCCTGTCAGGCACTGTGCCTTCACTGGTGCTTGGGCTCTCCATGGCCCTGTCTCGCACTGTGCCTCACTGGTGCTCACTGCCCCTTCTCTCTGGGGCTTCTCGCTGCCCCCTCTCTCTGGGGCTGGGGTTCCCACGCTGCTGCGGGTCCCCTATGAGGCCTCCTCCATCACCTAATAGCCTCACCCAAACCACCGGTTAAAACAGCAACCCCTGGGCTACAAAAAAATCCAAGCCACCTGGCTAAAACATCATTCAATCCCTACCAGGGAATACTCTGTCCCATAACAGCATCAGGAGCTGCTCATGCAGTCAGGCCTCTCCCCTTTGCTTGCTCCGGCTGAGCTCCCTTACCCCTTGGCTGCCAGCAGGGAACTGCCCTTCTGGCCTCAGGCCTGGGATTTATGTGGGAGTCAGGCCCTACCCCTTCCAGTCGGCTGACCAGGTGCAGGTGTGGTCAATTCCCTCCTTAACCGGTTGTTCCAGCAACCAGCACCTGGGTTTCTGCCTCTGCTCTGAGAGTAGCAGGCATCCTAGTGTCCTGCTGCATGTACTTCTTCTATTTTTTCTGTAGTGGGAATAGCCAGTTGGATTTGTATACTGATTGTAAAGCCCAGATTCTGCAGCTGTTACTCATCTCAAATATTGCAAAGCAATAACATACCCCCAACCATGTTCTCTTGCCCAGCTTATCTTGTGGGCCTGGATGATAAACAGAATTTTGCAAAGGAAGATTCTACTCAAGACAAGTAAGAGTAGTGGACTAATAGCAAAGGGATTAAGTTGGAAAGGAATAGGTTGTTGCAACTTGGGGTTAAAACAGCTGCATTTAAGGCAGCTCTGATAGATCTAAGTTAAAACCTGGAAGCTGCAGCTCTTCATATATTCATACATGTGGAGGGAGATGATCAGGAGAGCTGCAGCTCTTCATACATGTAGCTTGTTGCTGGAATGAAAGGAAATCCCTATGATGCAGGGAGTATTATTTTGGATACTTCACAGGTGCTTAAACTGGAACAATGGGGTTGCGTGTTTGTAGAATCCCAGGATACATTGCTTTGTGAGGAAGGTTATAAATAAACATTACATTTCACCTCAGAGAAAGGTTGTTGTCCCTGGATCCTAGAGTTCATACGCAATGTCCCACTTCATGTAGTTGTGAACTGTTTGATGAAATGTGGTAACATCCTCACCCCAGCCGCTCCCCATCCCAATCCTTATGTGCACCTGTAAACTAATTGTGGTTTATTTAACTTAATTGCAATTAATTTCAAGGAAGATCCTGTTATACTGTGTGCTCTCCCAGGCCATCTACTGGCAGAAGAGCATCAAGGCAGTTTCAGAAGTGAAGTAGGTAATCAGCTGTTTTGATAGGAGTCAAAACCCAGGGCAATCAGTCTCAGGTCAAATGAAACATCTGTTTACAGCCTAAAGTTTGCACAACTTGGTCCTAAAAATATAGTACATCTTTTCAGAGATATATAGTTCCAAAGGATATTAAATTATGTTATGGTTTCCCAGAGTGATATGTTGGCAGAGCAGAAGAATGCTTAAAGGCACTGACAGCCTTTGTTGTGCAATCAGCCCCTTGAAAGTGCTCTACAGCCATGTGCTGACAGAAGTACATGGCTGTAAGTGCTTTAAAAGTGCCCCATCATGCAACAAATTAATCATTGTTATGTGATGGTTCAGATGAAGGTACTCCAAAGCAGAGTACCTTCATTAACTTCTGTCTGATCAGGGCTGGGCTGATGGAGGGCTCCAATCCACCCACTCGCACTCCAGTGCAGGCTGGGCAAACCCCAGCCCAAGCTCTCTCTCCTCCCTTCTCCCCCTCCCATCATGCAGACAGCACCGGAGCTGGGATGCAGAGGGGGCAGGGGAGAGGGGACTAGGGGAGAGAAGCTGCAGACATGCAGCTCTTCCTGGATTGGCTCCAAAGTGGAGCTTAATCCCTCACCCTCCCAACCCAACAGCAAATGTATGTTGGGTCAGGAGGATTACTGTAACTCATGGCACTTTCTGTGAATCACCATGAGTTACAGTGGAGAGAAGCACATCTGTCAGCACCCATTATGAATAGTTTTGGAATGATTGGTGTGTTTGGTGACATGAAAAATCATGCTTACCTCAGCCCCATGTTTCTTTTGAGCATTAAATGCACATTTCTTGCGCGTCTCCTAGACATGGGACCCATCATTCCCATACAAAGGACCAAGAAGTGGTCTTATTTCCCTTATTCTCCTTAATTTAGCAGATAGTAAACAGGAAGTAGATCCACTGATGGGAAAATGTGATTTTTTAAATCTAAAAGACCTTTCTTTTTCTTTTGACCTCTGCATTTATTTTTTGCAAAGTTTAGGCTGTATGAAGGGGGTAAATAGTGAGTGATGGAAGATTAGGTGACAGCAGGCAGCTGACTGTTCATTTCCAAATGTAGGGATTTGTTGGGCCTTTAGGAAGGCACAGAATATTTGTAAAGAAGCAATAATTAGTGGATGCCACCGGAATACATTTGCTAAAGTAACTCTTAAATGAAGATTGGAGATTGTTCAGGGCTTTGAATGAAGAGCTTATTTAAATAGTCTTGTGTGTGAAGAGCACTCAGATAAAGGAAGCCCCATTCTGGGCATTCCATCAAAGTTAAAGAACCCTTCCACAAATATAGCATGTCCATAGCAGTATGGGAAAAAGCTAGACTCAGGTGGGATATGGGTTGGTGGACTGGAGACAGAAACAAAGGAAGAGAAGAAAAGGCATTTATTCACCCTGGACATCAAGTAGGTGGAAACACTTAATGTGCAGCGCTGTTAGTAAGATACCTAATCCCCAAAGAGGGCAGGATTTTAGACTAGCTCATTTATTTAGCATTTCTTCTAGGCCAGCTCCAGGTGGCTAGTGTTCTGTAATAGCTAGATCCAGGCAGCCAAAATAACTTAGAGGCTAGTTTTAGATTCCCCACTTATCACATTTTCTTCTCCCCTATCTCAGGGGCAGGCAATAATTTTGGGTGGAGGGCCACTTATCCAGTTTTGGCAAGCCATCGAAGGCTGCATGGGTAGCCCCATCCTTTGATAGGTGCCCTGTCTCCTGGTCGCCATCTTGGGACCGGAAGTCCCGTGCCCTAACCCCTGACCTTTGCCACCAGAAGTCCCTCCCCTTGCCCGCTGAAGTACTCCGTTCAGCAAGGGTTTTTGCAGTCTCTGAACCAGAAAAAATACCAAATTATGTTCTAAAAATCAAACACGTAGTACAATGTTATTTTCATTTTAAAAAATATTTTTGTCCTATTTGTGTACTGTACATAGAGGTGATATTATAATAGCTTAAAATGAAGACTTACTCTTGTATATTGTGGGGGTTGTGGGTGGGCAGTTGGGTATAGGTTTGTGGGTACGTGGGGTGCGTGGGTGTGTGTGTGTGTGTGTGTGTGTGTGTGTGATTTGTAGGGGGTGAATAGGTATGGGAGTGTGGGGGGTGTGGCTTTGTGGGGGTGGGGGGATATGGATTTTGTGCTCCTGCTTACTGCCACTTGCCCCCCGTCTGCCACTGATGCCCTTTCTCCTGCTGCTTCCTTCCCCCCCCACCCCCTGACTGCTCCAGCACCACATCCCAGCTGCTCCTGCAGTCCTGGGACTGCAGCTGTGAGCCACATGATGCCAGAGCACAGCAGGCAGGCAGGTGGAGAAATGGCTGTGGTATGTGGGGTGAACAGGCAGTGAACGGGCGTGTGGAGCACAGCGACAGCTGGGCAGGAGTGTGGGGCTCATGCTGGTGCACTGGGGCCAAGGTAGGTGGCACCCAGAGTGGGGTAGCAAGAACATGGGGCTGGGTTGCCAGGGCCTCTATGAAGCCAGGCTGCGCTACTTAAGCAGGGAGAGGAGGGAGCCAGCCCAGCTCCATAGAGCCCTTGGTAACCTAGCCCCACATTCCTGCCGCTCCACTCTGGGCTCTGCTGGCACTGGCCCCAGGGCACTGCGCAGGCCCTGTGCTCCCACCCAGCTATTGCTGTGCTCTGCGCACCCACTCGTTGCCCCTTTCTCCCACCTGCTGCAGCCATTTCCCCATTCCCCTCCCCCACCCGCCTGCTGGCCTCTAGCACCACATGGTTCTTGGCTGCAGTGCTGAGACCACAGGAGCTGGCCGGGCCAGCCCTGAGGACTGGGGCAATCACATACAGTCCTCCCCTGCCTCCCACCCCCCCCCCCCCTTTTCTGTATTCACA